TTTGTTTTTTTTTTTTTTTTTTTTTTTTTTTTTTTAATCATTATGGAATCGTTTAAGCTTTAAAACCATTTTTAATTTTTAACCCCGGCTCCGTTAAATAAGTATATATTTTTGTTATTCAAACAGGATTTGAATAGACAATATTTTTCTAGAAATGTGTAACACGTGTAACACGGTAGCAGGAACAAAAACACGGTGAAAAAACCAATTTTTTTTACCAAATTTAAGGCAAGAGTTTGCCATCATATTGTAATAGTCGTTCCTTACATCATATCTTTGAATTTTGTTATCAACCAGACTGTCATATTTATTCCCCACAGATATAAATAATAAACTAGATTGCTTACGGCTGTATGATTACTACTGTATTATAACTTGGATTACTATAGAAATTAATGTAACCGTCATTTTCCGTAATTTTTATAATTTTGTGGGAACTAGAGACCTATCAATTTCATCAGTTATAAAAAAAAAAAAAATTGCTCGTTAGGTAGAATTTTTCTTTTTTTTTATTATGCGAGTTTTAAAATCAAATTTTGACAAAACTCGTAAATATTACGGCCTTTGAAAATATATTTCAATGAACTTCGGTCCGAATAGTTTTTCGTTATCAATGGTTTCTCAATGCTCACAGATATAAATTAAAAACTCGCATATATCCTATTTAACAAAAATTTGTGATTTCTCGGAAACAAAATAGACACGACCCTATACACGGGTTTGTACGAAAAATAGAGTAATAATCAAAAATTTGTATGCAAAATCAGTAAAGAAAATTAAAATTTGGTTTTTATTTTCGTGATTTTTTTTCTTTTAGTTTTTTTGTCGTGGTTTTTTTTCGGGATCCGTATTAGACTATTTAGATTAGTAAAATAAATCCGTAGATTTACTATTTATAAAATATAACCGTTTAAAGTTTAGACTGGAAGCATAAGCCATAGAGTGCAATCATGTAATTTATTACCCTTCTTTAACCCTCCAGATAGAAAAAAAAATCAGAAATCAAATTCACATAAAATCCTTTAAAAAAATTGCTAATTCATGATAAAAAATCACCCTGAATAAATATAACCTGTTCATCATGAGCCCTCCTTAACAAAACAGAAATTCAAATCGTCTCAAAATCGAACGGAATGACAAATCTGGAACATCAAAATCTGACACGACTTTCTTCGTATAATTTTTTTTAATATTCCGGAATTTTTAAAATAATAAACAAACACTTCTCAAAGGTTCATACTCTGCACGCATAAACAAGACATTTTGAACGTAGGCATCTCAGTTTAAAATTAAAACATGTCATGATTTGTTTGAGAAAAGGATAAACTTTTGAAAAGTTGCCGTTTCATTCTAACTGAAATTCCAAAATATTTTAGAAAAAATATACGAGAAAACGATTCGTTCCGAATTTCGCCATTCTGATTTTGTTCGTCTCAATTTTTGCCGTTTTTGTAAATACTGCCGTTCCATGTGATGATATTCCGGATAACGTTCAATTTCACGTGTACGGTGTACACTTAAAAGTCAACCGTCTAACAAACGGAAACCTGTGCATCAGTAATGACGGGGAAAATCCGGTCCCTCGTGGCGTTCCGTTTTAGACAGTTTTAGAACACCCCGCGAGAGAATTCAACAGTCGTACAACAATAATACGCATTAATTTTATTTGTAATATTTATACACCGCATGTACAGTGGCGGCGCAAAGTATTTTTACCTTGAATAACAAATTAAATTTTTCACTCCCCACCCAGCCCTACCCCAAACCCAAAACTACCACCATCTTACCATGGATGTATTGAAATTTATTAAATTTCAACAAAATTCGTTAAAATTCCGCAGTCTGAAATTATTTTATTGACATTTTTTTTTGATAAAAAACGATTATTTGTGTTATATTCCTGATCACTCGGGCACTCAACACCAGCCCGTTCGTTTTTTTGCGAATCGCGCGATTCCTCCTTCCAGCCGCCCCTGCGTGTGCATATTTGCGTACCGATAAATCCGGGTCTCTCTCCGTCACTGTCTCTCTCTCTGCGCTTCCCCTCCTCGCTCGTCTCGTGTGCATCGTTTAGGAAACCGAAACGGTCCGAAGTATTCATCTGGCAAACAATAATATTCGCTTGGCGCGCAGTACGTTCTGTACCGTACACTGATGCACGGAGACTCTTATGTCGTGCACGACGACACAATAAAACATAATGGTTACCTATTAATATTATTTTTTTTTTTGGTTTTCGTTTTAATTTGAAAATTTCTCTCGCCCTCTCTCCCCGCCGCCGCCGTCATCGTCATCTCGACGTCGTCGCC